ATTCCGCTCCCGCTCCGGTTAGAGCAGTGCTCTTAAATATAAGCGCACATATATCACTCGTTCACAGACACACGTGCACATATACGTGTGCGTATCGATATTCGGTACTTCCTATTCGGCACTTACATGACCCACATGAGTAGGAAGTTGAGCGATACTTGAAAGCGAGGCAAACTCGAGTAATACCGAGAGTCACAAATCCGTCATTTCAGAAGAACGAGGTAGCGGCGTGTACAAGGTGTATTCATAAATAATGGAACCCTCGAACCCTTACGAAGATCTATGTACATACTCGACATCGCTCCATTTCTGCGACGCGTTTGGAATTTTAACGCTCTGCGTCAAATTCGTTATTATTGTTTTAATGGAATTCCGAGAGAAATAACACGATTAAATTTACATTTTACGCGAATGAATCAATTGTATCCCGTTAATGAAACAGTAGTATCCAGTTTGTAAGATAGAGCACAAATTAAAATTGTTATCACGTGTGTATTGGTAAAAGTAAATATTACGATAAATGCTAATAAATTTGTAAAAATATAAAACTATATGAAAATTGATTGAAACAAATCTGCAAACTGCATGAAACGATTGAAAAGGAAATCTGATATATTTGAATACGTTTCACAAATTTTAATATATACACTCTGTGAACAATCTGCTTTTACTAATTAAAATTATTACTTTCAGAATAATTAACGAATACATTTGTAGAATCTAAAACTCGGCATCTCTTTATCTAAAAAAGTATTTACACTTTAAAAAAATTATAAAATATATTCTACAAAAATATGATATGATTCTTAATATATTGACTTTGTATGTCAATTATTTCAGAATTTATCGTAAAACAATTTAATTTTTACTGCATTTTATTCACAAGAAATTATAAGTCTCTACTTTTATTTATTTTCTATATAAGCCATAATATATATTCCCAAATACATAACTCTTTATGAAACAATACGAGATGCTAGATATATTTCAGAGATTTCTACAATACATCGAGATATCCGAACTATCACCGTTTCCACCAATTCGTTCGGTATTCACGAGGCGCGTTGCCTCTCGTATCCTCGATTATATCGCACGCTCCCGCCATCGGAAGAAACGAACAGATAGAGAAGAAAATAGCTGGCGCGGTTAATTAAGCGGACTCTAGCAGGGACTAGTGCACCTTCCTTCCAACTGAAAACCTATTAACTCAGCTACGGGCGATCGATGCACGTCTCGTCGGTTAAACTAATCTATATTTACGGTACAAAGATTGAACCGGCAATACAATCCCGATGGGATACGTTGCCGACCCTAAACCAAAAATAGCATACTGAATATTTTGATCGAAAGAAAAATCCCTCGTTCCGATAAAAATATCAGACGATTTATAAAATAGATTCTACGATACGGGCTTTCGTAAATATTACGTAAGGCTAAACGAGAATTGATTGACTTTAATTTATAGAAATAGCTATATCAGAAAGATAACGTGAAATTATGTCGATTCACTTTCTGTCGTGAAATCGATTTCAAAAATGAATAGACATTAATCAATTGCAATACGACCTTCATTTTGCGTTCTGAAATCTTTGAGAAATTCAAGATGTAATAGCAAGATAATCCGATTATTATATAAAAAAAAATCAAGCACTATTAGAGCGATTATAATAAGGTATAAATATAAAATCAAGATGGTCCAGAAACAGAGAGAGAAAGAGAGAGAGAGAGAGAGAGTGCATGAATTAATACGCTTATAAATTATGTACGCGCGTAAATGCCTATCGCCCCGGCTATTAAACGCTCGACAAGCACAGTTCCCCTTTAGTCTCGTGTAACACACTCTCTCGTGTAATATCATTTCCGCATAAATCTTATAAAGCGCGCGGCTGACGCTAGCGACGGCGGCGTGACTGGCTGGCGAGTCGCGTTTAAACCGCGAAGATGAGAGGAGCGAGATAAGAGGAAAAAAGCTTGCAGGAAAATGGATGCGTCATGTACTGTAACTTACTTTGCCGCACGAGTTAATCTAACTATGAAGTTTCCCATATAAGGGGCGCGGACGCGCGCGCGCTCTTTCTCTTAAGTAGTTTAAGTTAATCAATGCTAATTTCGTTCCGCTTTAGAGCGGCAGACGCAATCGGGCGTATCTCTTGAATCGCGTTTCTTCGCGACCCGACCGTCTCTGTCGGACTTGTGACGGCTGATTACTGTTCTTCATAATCTGGATTAAATGGCGAAAACCGCGCGGACTTATTGTTCGCGAATCGCGCGGAATGAAGTTTCAACTCGGATGATAATTCCGCATCCTGTGCAACGGGATAATGATAAACTTCGTTGAAATGCGGGAGTTCTGAGATAACTTTTGATAATAACTTTCACGATGTAGATATTACGTATTTATTGAAAAGATGTGTCCTTTAAAAATACACTATGTGTAGAAATAAAATTATGGAGATTTTTTTTTTTTTTTTTAATTTTAAATGTCCACATATATGCAGCTAAATTTTTTATGTTACTTGTAATGCTATTTTGAAGCATACTTTTTGTACAGTTACACAACTGATGTAATAACTAAAATATGTATAACCATAAAAAAAAATAAAGCTCTTTATATAAAACATTGATACACGTATTCAAATTAGAGATGTGAAAAAAAAAGATCGTAATAAAAGGAATCATGCCCGTTATCGTTATCTCACCCGCGAGAGAAACAAGCATGTTTATTATTAAAAATTCAATGGTACTCCGATAGTTCGATCGATGTCAGTCAATAAAATCCATAAAATCCATCAAAAAGAAAATCTACTTTCTGACGCAAAAAACAATAAATTAATATCTAAATGATAAATGACTTTACGGGCGAATTGTCCCATAATTATTGGAAAGGACGAGTTCTGCGATAGAATAGTTCAAATGATTATCCTTCTCTACCTATTTCGCGTGTTGCGTCGTGGGAAACTATTAGCAGAGGAATTCCCAATGATATACTGCACTTATTTAAAAGTAATTAAACTCTCTGCGTATAATTCGAGAACTTACGTTGTTTTCTTTATATCTCCAATCTTATTCTAAACTGTTTTAAAAGTATAATTTTTTTTTCTTCTCTCTTCTCTTTCTTTCTTTCCAAATATATGATATGTTTGCAAAATGTTTTATTACAAATAATTTATATTATCTGTCTGTTTATTACTATGCAAATTTATTATATAAAAGATAATTGAAATTTAATTAGTCGGCATAATATCAATAAATAAGACAGTATGCATTAACATGATAACTAAAAGATTTATTTTTTATTATATATAATATGTTTTAATCTGTTGCATTTTTAATTGTTGCACAATTAATTTATAATAAATATAGATATGATATAATTATATTTTGTTAGGTAACAGAAGAGGATATAAAAAAATTTTATAAACCGTTTGGTGAAATTACAGAAGTAAACCTTTTAAAACGTCCAGATGGAAGCTTAGTTGGATGCGGTTTTATACGATTTAAATGTATAGAAGATGCTTCGAAAGCAATATTCAATACCAATAAAAAGGAGTTTTTTGGTATTTGCAGAATTGAGTTTGTTTTTTTTTTTTTTTTTTTTTTTTTTGATATACACATTATAAACAATTTTTTTTAACGAAGATTTTTTATATTGCCTTTATTATTTTTATAAAAAGAACTTTTGCAAGATTGCATTTTTCGCGAATTATTCGTACCACGAATCAGATATTTAGCAGATTTAAGTCGCCGATGCGCGAAAAAATAGAATTAAAAAGAAGCACGATTTAAGTGCCTGAGATTCTATCATAGAATATATAATATATTCATTTTCCGATGAATCTAACCGCGATTTCTATGTGCGTGACACAGAAAAGCGGAAAGAGAAAATAAGAATAAACGATATTGCGTAAACCGCCGCTATTTCCGTCGCTTTCAGGAGAAAGAACGAAGCACGGCAAGACGGAAAGACAGGTACATCTGCAAAACAGTCACATTTTACGATCTCTCGCCGCGGGCCACGAATATCGCGGACATAAAAGCGCTACGAGAAGAAAAAGAAGGAGAGCTCGTGCGGCAGCTTTCGTTTTAAAAAACGCAACGGATAATTGTTCTCGGATCGCTTTGAGATGGCATCGCGTCAATCTGCCTCGTCGCATTGTCACAAACTTTGTAAAGAATTAATTCCATAGTTGAATGCCGCAATTCTGAGTCAGATATGTATCCACCTACGAAAATACAGGATCGCGGAAAATTTATCACCGTGAAGCTCCTTGTTGCACGACCACTCACAGAAACCTACGTACACGTAATATTAACGGTGTGAAAAATGCTGAACGTTTTCTCTTCTATTACGATAGAAATGCCACTGACTTAATGTATAATTATGTAAGAAGAGTTTAAAATGCGGATTGATAACAATGGTATCTTCTTTATATAGTTTGCTCCAGAATTATCATTCGCAGATTTTTTTTTTTACGGATTAATTGGATTTTATTTTATAACTAAACAAAACAAACAAGATTGATTAATCAACTTAAAGTCTCTTTTAAAAAAACAGATTGAAAATAAAGTGCAACTCTTAAATAATAAACGATTTTTATTACTTCAGCTATATATGAGAAAATAAGGAGCTTGTGAAACTTTTATCTATTGTTTTGAATGTTGAAACTTAAAAATATCTAGTTGAATAATGAGAGAGAGAGAGAGAGATTAAGTACACATTATTTTACTTTTGTTCAAAAGTTTTTATCGATATACGAATAGCAAGTAATAATATAAGTAGTAATTTATAAAAATATTTTATAAGACATTGAGCAAAGAAATGCAATATATTTCAAATAAAAAAATAATGACGTTGTCTTTTCAATTAACAAAAAAGAAATTTCTTAACAACTGTCCGCAATTGATCGGCAATAATTTTTCGGATTAACGAACAGCAAAGAATTAAAGAGATTTTGGCAAGTATGAACGAAATCAATGATCGTAAACAACGAAGAGCTTACCTTATCAGGATGTAGTCTATCCTCGATAATCCCTACACCTAAAATCTCTCGTAGCAGCTAAACATCACGTACCGCCCTTAATGGCCTTAGGAAACACGTTTACCACCTTTCAGCACCATTCACGACGGTCTCGGGGTATACGACCCCGCGGGAATCACGTGTCTCACGCGTAGCGACCGCGCAAACGCTAATTACAAACTTTACAGAATACACTTTAGTATATCATGGCTAACTCCGAGAACTCAACAGTCCTTTCGCCCTGTCTTGTCATAGTCTATCGCGTGTTTCTTCGTGAAATTTCGAATATCGGAGCCGACGGAAAAATTGTTTTCTTTTTTTTTTTTTTATCGGAGAGCCCTTATCGCGAGAGATCTCCGCCTGGATCTCCCTGATGGTCGAGGAGACTCGAAGTGTTTTCGACTCAATGCGCGTTTTTGATGACGCGGTCACGTGGCGAAGGACTCGTTTAAGTATCGAGCGGAGACGGCGGAACGCGTTATACCGTCTCGGTGATCCGTCGGGGACTGCGTTCACCACTGCTCCCCACCAGGCATCTCGGGGGTTGGACACCCCCGCGTCGGTTCGGCATCCCGACGCGCGACGTCGCTCCGCCTCCACGTGGAACACCGAATCCCCACCTAGTGAGGGTACCAGGGGCTTGATCCCCGATGGACCTCGACGGCGTCGTCTTAAGTCGACCACGATGCCAAGGAGAGACTCGTCGTCCTGATCGCCGTCGAGCCGGCGACCAAGTTGAACCCGAGGACTTGCTAGCAATATCGTAGAAGTATCGCTCTGATATCTTGATATATTTAATGTTTAGATAATCTTTTCTAATAATCAGCATTTAATTTGCGTGGATCTTTGGATTTTTATTTTCGATGAAAATTTATCGTCAATAAGGGTTGCATCCCTCATTTGTCAAAATTTGTGTTGCAAGATCTTCCTTTTGTCAACTTATTTTTAAAAAATTTCCATAAATGTTAATTAAAAGTGATTGAACTTTTCAATCGATTCTTTATGCAGCACATTCTACAAATAGAAGTAGAAAAACACAGAGAAGGTCAGACTTGTCCACCAAGCCATGATGATTCGATAACGCAGCTTGCGAACGTGCACTTTTTTATAATGTAATTATGAAAAATTCATTGTAAATTAAGCATTGAATTAAAATAATTTATTAAAGCATTGAATTAAAATAATTTATTTATTAAAAATTAAATTAATTTGTTATCTTAAGATATTATACATTCTTAAGGTATTATACTATATACCTATAATAACCTTTTAAGGTGAGATGTGGATAAATCGATGACACAATTTATTTGAAAATTGCAATAATCTCGAGAGGATGACATTATTCACAAATTTTGCGTCATTTGCACTAATGCGTGCATGCAACGGTTATACACAAGTATGCGGGACAAAAAGAATTTCTCCGCACCTTCATGTTTATTCAGCATTTTTAATGGCGCCTCTCTCTTGTTACTCTCCGCTCGCACCTTCCTTTTGTTTCCCGGGTGCTATTGCAGTTTCTCGCATAAATTTAATAATTAAAGGCGCGGAACATCGGGAACGCATTTAATATTGAAATAAAGTGCCGTGTCGCGTCACGTGGTCAAATCGTATTCGCGTAACAGGATAACGTAATACGAAATTAAATTTATGCGATATTCATAGCATGAACGATTTGATTGCGGACGCGGCAGACGAATAAAAATTTCACACCCGGGCGAATATTTATAGGCACGGCCAATTAATTTCCACATGATACGCGACGCGCAAAATCCTTGTGTTTGCAAATGAATATACTTTCCGCGGGATACGCGTTACAAAAATCTTTTATGCACACGCGTATTTCCATAAAAATAAATTGTCCCGCTCTTCAATGTTTTACGAGTATTTCCGCGCACCAGCAAAATTCGTTTGTGGCTATAAAAAAAAGCTCTTCTAGAAAATTTAATACTTCCGCTCTTATATCGATTCCTATGATATTACTGTTTGTAAATACAATAATTTTATAAAGCGGAAAATTATATGATTTCTTTAACTCTTATAAGACATTTTTTTATTTTGCATGTGGAGAAAAAATAACTACGGTAAAGAATAAGCGGCAGCACACACGCGAGCAAAAGCTTTGAATAAATTTTTATTAACTCGTAAAATTTTTCGTGTTCGCTAAATACGTTTTCACGGTTCCAAAGGGAATGCCTTAAAATAATGAAAGGGGTTGAAATGTCCTGCAGTTTAGTTCTCCCTTTGGAGTTCCGCGGTATTAAAACTTTGCATCCGTACTGACTTTATACTCTGCGAGTCTATATGACCGTAACTAGTAACTATATATTATTGCAGCTTTTCATTGCGCCGATTTCTCTTACAAATGTGATCTTTAATATCTTTCGAAAAAAGATAATTAAAAAATACAAAACACAATATTTTTTGAAAATCGAAAGCAGAGATATATAGCTGTGCTATTTCTACTGGGCCATTCTGTGTATATCCAACTATTATTACTTCGTATTCTAGATGCACAAGATAAACGTCATTAGCAGCATCAGCAATGAACGTCCACCGAGGACAGAGTGCAATCTCGCAAACTAATTGCGATCGCAGACATACAAACTATGTTCAAAGCAACTAGAAGTGCGCAAAAAGAGGCTGCAGATGCGTGCACATGCATAGAACCCTTTACGCGTATATCATCGGTACCATTAACGAAAATTTCGGTCAGACACCTCGCCTCCAATTTCGCTGAAACGCGATCATAATTGACTTTGTCGATTGAGCAAATCCCGATGCGCACCCCTTAATATCAGGAAATTTCATATTTTCTCCATTTAAACGCATAATTTAATTCACGTGAAGCATTAATTCTCTGATTTAGCCTGCAACGAAGTCAAACCTAAAAGAAAAAAAAAAAAATATGTGATGCCCTCTATACGTAATAAGATAATCATTGATGTACATGAAAAAAAAAATTTTTAATAAAAATTGTATTTTTAAAATTATTATTATTATTAAAATTTCTCATTATTATTAAAAAAATAGAAGTCTAAAAAAATTTATACAATTGTTTAATAGCTTTCTATTATGACGTAGCAATTCTTTTTACAAACTAATAAAATAGTTAAAAAATATTTAATACTTGAAAATAGAATTCAAGCAATAACTATAAAATGCTTGGTATTCGCGATTATAAAAGATACTTGGATATTGCTAAAGTTAAAATATGCTCTGGCAAGTACTTCATCCGAACCTTCAGGCATTTAAAGAAGCCGCGCGTCTGACGCTATAGCAATATTTTGATAGCAGAACGTAAAACAGCAAAGAAATCATACACCGCGCATGTCGATATTAATAAAAGATATTCCCCAACTGTAGTGATCGCAAAATATTTTCACGCTGCGTTTCTCGAAGACCTGAGATACAAGTGTTTTTCGACGAGGCTCTTGAGGCGCGCGCGGTCTTCTCCTTTCGTCAGGTCCGAGGAAAAAGAGAGCTCCGAGGCGTTCACCCTTTTGCCTCCCCTTACTCGACCACTCCCCGCTCGGTTCGAAGGTGACGACATCGGTGTCGAGTGTTTTTATTCCATTACCCCAGTAGCGTGCGACGCCATCCTCTTAACCACTTACTTAACCCACGACCTTTGGCCTTGTCTCCCCCTTGTTCGCGCTTGATGGCCTTCGAAAACTCAAATATTATCCGTCGTTCGATCTCGCCCCTGCTGAGAACGGGTACGCCCGGGGATTGTAGGATCTCGAGAAGCCTCTTGCGAGATCACCCCCGCTCTCTCTCTCTCTCTCTCTCTCTCTTTCTCTCTCTTTAAAAATGTGCCCCCGCAAATGCCTTAAACCTAATTCTTGACGGCGTCAATAATGTTTCTATCAGCCACCGTGATTTTCATTTAATTACTTGTTCGATATATCTATCCTGTCATTATACGTCACTATCAAACCGCCAACTTTTTTTTAAGCCCGCAGTATCGCGCCACCGTGATTTTCATTTAATTACTTGTTCGATATATCTATCCTGTCATTATACGTCACTATCAAACTGTCAACTTTTTTCAAGCCCGCAGTATCGTAGTCATAAGGCGCCTTGTCAATCTTGGGAATCTTAGGCAGTGCAAGTACGATTGAAAAAATTGACTTAAGAAAAGTTTTACCGTTCAAAAGTTTGTAACGCTTAACGCATCTTAAAGCCGGAATTTTTCCGCGGAAGAAACTAAAGTCTAGTAAATCGGTTTTTTTTTTACGAGGATTCTTTGATCCAAATTAGAATTAATTTTTTCTTAACAAAAATCTCTCTCTCGTGGAGATAATAATGGTTTTTATAAATAATATCAAATATATATACGGAAAGAGATAAATTTTTAATAGCACCTTATCTTTTATTTAATTTTAAAGACTTTTTTACTTCTCGACAGTTTTAAAATTTAAATTAATTATATATACTGGATTAATAAAAGATATTTAAAGTTGTATGTTATAATTTATAAAAATAATAGTGTTCAAATGGAAAAATATCGTTAAACGGAAAAAAATATAGAAGTTTATTTGCATATGGCTCTTCGTCAATAAAAATAAAATATTTATTCGACTGTGAGCTCATTAAAAGAGCTACAAACATCACATAGCCAATAAAGATTATATACAAATAATTATATGTATCGCTGATATTATACTTCGCAATTTTTATCTCTATACTTTATCATAAAATCTTTCCGTTTTTATCTCTTTCTCTTTAAAAAATAATCCGCTTTTATTCGTAGAGAAAGTTACGCCGGACGCGCGAAATATGTACCCTTCTTTCTTTCTTCCTTCCGATTGCAATTTGCAACTTTCATCCCCGTTGATTTTGTCGTCACCAGCGCAAACAGAGGCCGAAAACTTTTACGTATCGCCGAAGTTTTTATCGCGGGCGACGCGTTGCGCATTTGCGCGAAATCTGCGTCCGCAACACGTGAACCCGGAAATCTACTATTCCACTTCGTTAATGAAAGTGATATAACGTTCGGAATGAGATGCAAATGGTCGCGGGATGTGGTTAAAGTGCAGATACCGGCTAGGCGAGTTTTTACCTAACGCCCCGCATGTCGGCGAGCATAATGCGTTCTTTTTATTCTCCTCAATCGGATCATTTCTATTTTTCGCTGTCGTATATTTCAACACGCATCGTCTCGAAAAGACACAAGTGATTGGAATAATTAAGAGCGTCCCATTTAGCGCGCGTGATAAAACTGTTTTTCTATTTTTTGGCGATCTTTTACTTTTGCAAATATCGTTGCATTTAAAGTATTGGTAAATTGTTGAATTAATTATATAATTTATAAATTTAGTTTGTGCTATTGAAAGGGGAACAAAGCTGTTTGACATGAATCGTAATCTGCATTCGTGACCGCATTAACCGCAATCTCTGATATAATGTATATGTATATATTCTTCGTATATAAATCAATTTTCATTGCATCCAGGATTTATTCCGTTTCATTAATATTTACGAACGAATGTTATTAGCGTCTTCCGTTTGACCGGAGACCATCGCGGATCGAATCGACAAAAGTTAATAATCGTTGCTCGCGTGAACACTCTCGACATTTCCCCGATTCGTAATAAATGCCTGAATCCGTGAAGTCGGAAATGCGCGGAAACGCGCTTGGCAAGTAAGTTAGTTATAGATGTTAGTTAGCCACGACATACCGCGCTTCTAATGGTTACAATTATGAGCCCGTCGTCACTTTCAACGGCGACGAAGTTACAGATCGTTCGCAATTGCTCGCTTTGGTCTCGGATTATTCGAATAACAGTTTAAGCCTCATATACCGAGTTGAGTTTGCAGACAGTTTCTATCGAGTTTCATATGCTCGATAATATGACTAGCGTACGCTAGATCCTTTTATTTCTTTCTATTCCGTTAACATTGATTTGATTTTGAATATGTGAATATAGTGTGCTGTGTCATAATAGCAAATTTTTGTCAAGTTATATTAAAATTCATTCATCAGTTGACTGAACTATTCAATTTTCTGCATGAATAATTATGCTAAAAGGAGCAGTATAATTAATAATAAATCTGCGTCGGACAGCGAACGCAGGTGACTAATTAATTTTCGAACATACATATCTATAAATCGTACATTCTATTTTGCAAAATTAATATCTTGAATTTTAATCAACATACGTATTCGAGGATTTGACAAAAGTGATTTGATCGATCTTTGATTGAAACCTATCAATCGTAATCAATCGACAGAGAGACTACTCTGAAACGCGGGGAGTATGAAACAAGATTTTCGTCGCGACGATTTTTTGCGTCGATCAGACCAATTTCGGCCCGAACGGCGCCGAGCATCGTGCTACTTCAACGCACACACAAACGAACCTTTCAAAATCATTTTCCGATATTCCGTAGCTCCTCTCTCGCGACGGAACGCACGCGTAACGACGCCGATCGTCGTGGGATACAACGAGCGAGACGAGCCCGCGGCTGTAAATAAAAGGACGATCGGCCGAGATATAGAAGGCAGTCAGCCAGCGATGGCACTGATATTCGCCCGCGAGATATCGAATGCTTCGAGCATGTAGAGAGAAATCGTATACCAAAATCAAATTCTGAGAAAATTTCAAGATTCCTCTCGTCTTTCAGAAACAATAATCCCAATTCTCAAAAATCTGGAAATAATATCGCGATCATGCAAGAAATTTAAAATTTCAGATTTTGGCCAGAAGCAATTTTTTGATTTGATGAAATATCATGCATTTATAGAATAATCGCGGAAGGAGAGAAAGATTTAAGAGAGAGATATTGTGATTAATATTTTTTCACTGTATAATAATCTCGAAATACGTATGGAGAGACAGCTTCAACCATGATCGATTCGTTGGAAAATTTCGAGTAGACACCGCTTCGAGTGCCATCGCTGAAATTTTGAGTGGATATCGATTGGAGAGGGCCAGCCCTCCATAGTCCTACCATAGTAAACCGTATACTTTTGATGCATACGCCCGCGGTCGTGTTTATGTTAATGTAATTTTGTGTGGCGACGACGGTGCTGAAATAACGACTAAGCCCCGGCAGATAAATCGTTTCTGCATACGCATGTGATATGCATGTTGTCTGTTGTTGCGTAACAGTAGCGAAACAATTTCGTCCACGCCGCAATTGAGTCTTACTATTCGGGTTTCGAGACGATCCAGAAGGAATTCAAAGAAACTGTACGCAATTGCTCCTTGTCTTCTCACGATTATTGTTATAGCAAACAAGAAATCAACAAGAATATTAACTATATTCAATATTGAGAAAAGTTATAATAATTATATTTTTGTCTAGAGTATAAACTGTAAAAATTAATAATAATTCTAATGGCACTGGGATAAAATCTTTACTTTGTTTTTCTTTTTAATTATTAAATAGTTAAATTATATATCACACTATATTTAATGTCAGTTGTGTGTGTGCTTGATTTTATTTCTCTTGTACTAATAATTAGCAATATAATTTAATGCCTTAGTTTATCCGGGAAAGTTTGTTAAACCATTACAGCGCGAATATTGTTTAAGCGAGCAATATAAATACATCTGCAAGAGGGGAGTCAACAATTGAGCTCGCGAAATACGTGAGCATTTCTCCGGCATTAGTATCATTAGTCTATATTGCGGTTGCCGGCTTGTTAAGCTTAGCCAGCGAAAAACAATCGATGAGCGGTTGTTTGCCCGAGCGGTCATTGCTTACTGTTGTTACGTAAGAAGAGCAAAATAAAATACTTTTAACACGCTTTCTGACAGTCGGAACATCCGCGAAGCGAATTTCAGCAGATTGACAGGTAGAAGATGTGTGTTTGCGAAGCGTAAAGTCGAAAATAGTGAAT